ACAACAGGGCAGAGAGGCCGAGGCCTTCCCCTCATAAGAACATCAGAAGACCCCTGCTGGATCAGACCAGTGAGGGTCCATCTAGTCCAGCATCCCACCTCACACAGTGGCCCCAACCAGTTCCTCCGGAGGGCCAAAGACAGGGCAGGGAGGCTGAGGCCTTCCCCTCATAAGGACATCAGAAGAGCCCTGCTGGATCAGACCAGTGAGGGTCCATCTAGTCCAGCATCCCACCTCACACAGTGGCCCCAACCAGTTCCTCTGGAGGGCCCACAACAGGGCAGAGAGGCCGAGGCCTTCCCCTGATAAGTTCATCAGAAGAGCCCTGCTGGATCAGACCAGTGAGGGTCCGTCTAGTCCAGCATCCTGCCTCACACAGTGGCCTCAACCAGTTCCTCTGAAGGGCCAACAACAGGGCAGAGAGGCTGAGGCCTTCCCCTGATGTTGCCTCCTGGCATTGGGATTCAGAGCTTGACTGCCTCTGAATGTGGAAGTTTCCCTCAGCCACCATGGCAAGAAGAAGAAGAGTTGGATTTACACCCTGCCCTTCACTCGGAGTGTCAGAGCGACTTACAATCTCCTTCCCTTCCCTTCCCCTCTCCACAACAGACACCCTGTGAGGCAGGTGGGGCTGAGTGAGAGAAACTGCTCTTTCAAGGACAGCTCCGAGAGAACTTGTGACTGACCCCAGGTAACCCAGCTGGCTGCATGAGGAGGAGTGGGGGAATCAAACCCAGTTCTCCCAGATTAGAGTCTGCTGCTCTTAACCACTACACCAAACTGGCTCTCAAACTGGAGTTCTCCCACTACTACAACTGACCTCCAGGTGATCAGTTCAGCTGGAGAAAATGGCTGCTTGGAAGGTGGACTCTATGACACTATACCACACCGAAGCCCCTCCCCTTCCCAAACCCCGCCCTCCTCAGGCTCCACCCCCAAATCTCCAGGTGTTTCCCAACCCAGAGTGTGTAACCCTAGTTGTCATGAGGATAAAACTGGAGAAGAGGAGAATGAGGGGAGGGGCCGTGGCTCAGTGGCAGAGCATCTGCTTGGCATGCAGAAGGTCTCAGGTTCAATCCCCGGCATCTCCAATTAAAAAGGACCAGCCAGCAAGGCAGGAAAGACCAGCATGAGATGGATTGACTCAGTCAAGGAAGCCGCAGCCCTCAGTTTGCAAGACCCAAGTGAGGCTGTTAATGAGAGGACATTTTAGAGGACATGAATTCATAGGGTCTCCATAGGTCAGAAGTGACTTGACAGGCACAGCAGCCACAAAGCAAGTGTTGCCAAAAACCTCAGCCTGAGACCCCGGAGAGCTGCTGCCAGTCAGAGTAGACAATACCGACCTTGATGGACCAAAAGTCTGATTTGGTATGGCAGCTTCGTATGTGTTCATGTAAGTCATTTCCCGCCCTGATCTGGATAGCCCCGGCTAGCCGGATCTCATAAGAACATAAGAGACGCCAATGTTGGATCAGGCCAAAGGCCCATCCAGTCCAACACTCTGTGTCACACAGTGGCCAGAAATACCAGGTGCCATCAGGAGGTCGACCAGTGGGGCCAGGACACTAGAAGCCCTCCCACTGTTGGCCCCCCCAAGCACCAAGAAGACAGAGCATCACTCGCCCCAGAGCCCCTATCTATTTTGTTGTTGTTCAGTCTCACAGTCGAGTCTGACTCTTCGCGACCCCATGGATCATCTCCCTCCAGGCCCTCCTGTCTTCCGCCGTCCTCTGACGTTTGCTCAATTTCATGTTCGTTGCATCGATGACACTGTCTAACCATCTCATCCTTTGCCGTCCCCGTCTTCTTTGACCTTCAATCTTTCCCAGCATCAGGGTCTTCTCCAGTGAGTGCTCCCTTCTCATTTGGTGGCCAAAGTATTTGAGCTTCAGTTTCATTATCTGGCCTTCCTGGGAATAGTCAGGGTTGATTTCTTTTAGGATTGACTGATTTGATCTTCTTGCAGTCCAAGGGACTCTCAAGAGTCTTCTCCAGCACCATAGTTCAAAAGAATCTATTCTTCCGCGCTCGGCCTTCCTTATAGTCCAACTCTCGCAGCCATGCATGACTACTGGGAATACCATTGCTTTGACCATGCAGACTTTTGTTCGCAGGGTGAGGTCTCTACTTTTTATCATGCTGTTTAGGTTCGCCATCGCTTTTCTAATTCCCTTTTGAAGCCGTCCATGCTTGTAGCCGCCACCACCTCCTGTGGCAGTGAATTCCATGTGTTAATCACTCTTTGGGTGAAGAAGTACTTCCTCTTATCCATTGTAACCCGACCGCTCAGCAGTGCCCACGAGTTCTTGTATTGTGAGAAAGGGAGAAAAGTACCTCTTTCTCTACCTGTTCTTTCCCATGCATAATCTTGTAAACCTCAATCATGTCACCCTCATCAGATCTCGGAATCTAAGCAGGGTCAGCCCTGACTAGTAGTTGGATGGGAGACCTCCAAGGAATACCAGGGTCATCACACGTAGGCAGGCAGTGGCAAACCACCTCTGAAACGCCTCTTGCCTTGAAAACCCCGCCAGGGGTTGCCATCAGTCAGCCGTGACCAAACATCACTTTCTACCTTCACCAAGCCACTTCCCATTATTATGGAAGAAAGCATAAATAAAAATCAAAACAGCATGCCGGACACACTGTGTTCCCTCTAAGCTTGAGTCAGTGTGAGCCAGCTCACAGTTTTTTAGCCTCCGGCTCACACATTTTTGCCTTAGCTCAGGAAGGGATGGCTCCAGAGCAGACTTAATTTATGCAGTGGCCAAATTGCCCACTCACAACTTTCATGCCAGGAGTCCACAAAGTAGAATTCTTGCTCACAAGACTCCACAGCTTAGAGGGAGCATTTGTGGGGGGGGGTTAGAGTTTCCAGGTCCCCCCCAGCCGTCAGCAGGGGGTGGGGGCATAGGGTTGCCAGATCCAGGTTGGGAAACTCCTGGGGATTTGGGGGTGGAGCCTGGGGAGGACAGGGGCCTCAGTGGGGCACAGTGCCATGGAGTCCACCCTCCAAAGCATCCAGTTTATCCAGAGGAACTGATCTCTGTCATCTGGAGATGAGGGGCAATCCCAGGGGATCCCCAAATCCCACTTGAAGACCGACATCCCTAGTGTGGGGGGGTGGGAATCGTGTCTAGAAGCAAGTTCATATTTCACTGATGCAACATGAGATGGGCAAAGAGAATTTACAAAACAGAGGATGCGGGTGCTGCGTTGTAAAAAAGACAAAAAGTTAAAGCTGCGTCAGGAACCGGCATTTGGCCGACTCATCTGCATCTTTTGGACCCAGGCCAGGAGCTGGACTGCGCTTCCCACTCGAGCGCCCCACTCCCCCTTTTGTTCTTATTTGGAAGAACGGGAAACAGAAAACCCCAAACTCCTTTAATTTATGTTCCATCGAACTGCTGCTTGCGTCCTCGGTGTGCATCAGCCCACAGGGGGGAAAAAATGCTGTTAAAAAAAAAAATTTGTTTGTCTCAGCCAATCAGGCGAGAGCCAAAAAACAGCTGTTATAAGCAGCCGGGCCGCTTGGACGAGCGACTCCAGAGCCATTCAATAAAAGGAGGAGGAGAGATTTAATATACACATACAAACACATTTCTCTGTCTCTCTCCGAGCTTTTCAAAGTGACCCAAGGATTATTTTAAAAAAGAGGACAAGAAAAGGAAGGGAGAAAATTTCAAATTGGGATTAGCACTGATTTTTTCTCTCCTCTCTCTCTTCTTTTTCCTTGCAGCACCTTTGCATCCAAGCCTTGCTTATTAAAGAAAGGAAGAAAAAGTATTTGTTTTTTAAAGATTTCTTTCTTTTTGGAAGGAGAAAGGACAGCTGAGCTCCATTCTGCTGTGGAGACTTTCGGAAAGGCTGCAGCTGCAGCGGGTGGAAAATAAAGCACAGTCAGTTGGAAAGGACTTGGACTGGAGCAGCAGAGTGAGGAGGGGGGGGAAAGTCTGGAAAGAGAATTTCGATTGTTCACTTTCAGAAGCAGAAATAGCAAGGAGGAACTTTGTGTCCGGACCGGGTGAGGGGACGCGAAACTCCGTTTAATTCCCCCAGGGCTGTCTGGCTCCAGACGCAGGGGATGCCCTCAGAGTAGCTGCTGAGAAGGACAGGCAGCAAAGAGGAGACAATTGGCATTGATTAATAATTGGCTTTTATTGGTCATTGGCATCCTGATTCGTACCTTCTGCTAATCTCAGGGGCTAGGCTTTCTTTCTTTGAGGGAAGTCCCCCCCCTCCCTCCAATTAAATTATTTTTAACTTTTTTTTTTCCAGAATAGAATTTTTGTAAAAAAAATCTTTTGTTCCCAATGCATCTTCTGTTCTTTGCCACCTGTTGGCTCCTGGTCTCAGCGATGGACGACCGGGCTCGTTTCGGTGGGTACCAGGAAGAAATCGTTTTCCCGGAGAGACTGAATGTCACCTTCGATCCTGCGGGCCAGGATGAGGACGGCATGTCCGAGAACAGCCTGGGGGGCGTCCGGAACCCCGGAACACTGCTTTCCTACCGTCTCCACGTGTTCGGGGAAGAACTGGTCCTCAGTTTAGAGAAGGACCCCAGTTTCTTCTCAGAGGGCTTGACCGTACAATATCTGGGCAGGTCCGGGCAAGTGGTCGACGGTCCCAGCGATCAAGGGACTTACTTCACCGGCACCGTCAACTCCGACCCGGAATCGATCGCGGCGGTCAACTTTGACGGAGCGTCCTTGCTGGGGGTGCTCCAGTACCGCGGCGTAGAGTACCACGTGCAGCCTCTGGAAGGGGGAGTCCCAAACACGGCGGGAGGAGTCGGCGCCCACGTGGTGAGGAAGAAGGTGTCGGAGAAAGCGGATGGCCCCATGTGTGGTGTCGGGTCCCAGATTGCAGATGCCGTGCCAGCCCTGGGAGGGGAACCGTTGGCAAAGACGGAGGAGCCCCGCAGGAGAGCTAAGGTAGGAGAGTCCACGTGCTGCTTTTAGGAGGAGCCGGGATTGCTGGCAGGCGTTCTTGCCAATAATGCTTTTCAGATGCCGCTCAGTTGTGTGTGTTGGTCTTGGCAGTGGATCGCGTCCTCCCAGGGAAAAGGGGGGAAAGCCCTTATTTTAGCTCCTCTGAAGTTCTTCGAGAGACTGTCCTCGACTAAACCATGTCAGATGGTGCGCGCTGACCCAGATTGGGGGTAGGGCTGGCCATTTTGTCCTCCCGAGAGCCAGGAATCCAGGCCTGACAGACCTGGCCTTACCTGGCAACGCTTGGAGAAGCCGATGGTCACGAATACCATCCAGAGTGTACCCAGCACAAGTTTATTCGTTCCTGGCGGGAACACTTAAGTTGGGCAACTGCACTTTGTTCCGACCGCACATAACAGTCATATGTCATGACTACTTAAAGGTTTCTCTGCTCAAGGACAGCTTCGTTTAGAATCCTCTGACCTGGTGACCCAGACTCTTTGCAAAACAGAAGGATCTGGTGATCTGCAGACGTGAGGCAAGATCTGCATATATTTTGCATCATCCCTCATTTGCAGGTCTTAGGCAGAGAGGGGTGTATGGGGCTCAAGGGATCAGACATCCTACTAGATGGCCAGGGTCCGACATACCTACGGGACAGCCTCTCCCCATATGTTCCCCAACGAGCACTACGGTCCAGGACTAAACATCTCCTGGTGGTTCCAGGTCCCAAAGAGGCCAGACTAGCGGCAACTAGGGCTAGGGCTTTTTCGGTGGCGGCTCCTACCTGGTGGAATGAGCCCCCAGAGGAGATCCGGGCCCTGCGGGACCTTGCACAGCTCTGCGGGGCCTGCAAGACGGAGCTCTTCCGCCAGGCGTTTGAGTAGGAGCCGCCACGACTGTTTGAGTAGGAGCCGCCACGACTGTTACCATCTGTCCTAGCCCTTATTACCAACTCACCGTAAGTGCAAAAATGGAGGTACTGCGTGGAGCTGTGGCCACTAAGGATACCATCCTGGTGATGTCATCGGTTTCCTTGTTAGTTGTTGTGGAGAGCACTTATGTTGCACTGAATGTTTTTAAAATGCAGTTTTAATGTTTTATGTATTGGGCATTGGCCCCATCTGCACGCTGCCCTGAGCCCGTTTGTGGGGAGGGCGGGTTATAAATTTAAATAAATAAATAAATAAATAAATAAATAGAAGCCTTCTCTCTGCTCGTTCCCCATGTGCAGGGGGTCTGGGGCAGGGGAAATCCCAGCAAGAAACACTGCTTAGTGTTGACGAGCACTGGCGACAGGGTTACCAGCTCTGGGTTGGGAAATACCTGGAGATTTGGGGGGCGGAGCCTGAGAAGGGTGGGGTTGGGGCCTCAGTGGGGTACAATGCCGTCGTGCCCACCTTCCAAAGCAGCCGCCTGCTCCTGGTGAACTGAGCTCCGTCCCCAGCTACCACCTGGAGGCTGGCAAACCTGGTGGACAACAGCCCTGCGAGGTTAGGCCACTGGTATGCGTAGCGGGCGAGAGAAGGCTGGCTCGCTGAAGACCACGGAATGAATCTGTTGCCCAGGAAGACATTCAGAGCGAGGGTTTTTCAGCTCGTGGACCAAGGCCGGGAGCGACTCCGGTTCCCGTTTCTGTTACGCGTCTTTGGAATCCGTTGGTATCCCACATTTTATCCCCACAGGACAACCCGCAAGACAGGTTAGGCTGACAGTGGCAGTGACCAGCCTGAGGTTGCCCAGGGCCGAGTGGGGATTTGAATCCGGATCCCCGAGACCCAACACTCTAACCCCTACGCCGCCACTGTCCCTGAGGCGTGGGGCCTAGCCGTTGCCTCGTGCCCCTGCTCTTCCAAAGCAACCAGTCTGGCAATTAGGGTTGCCAGTTCCAGGTTGGGAAATACTTGGAAATGTTGGGGGGTGGAGCCTGGGGAGGGCGGGGTTTGGGGGAGGACCTCTGTGGGGGCGCAATGCCACAGAGTCCACACCCTCCGAAGCATCCGTTTCCTTCGGAGGAACTGGTCTCTGTCCTCTGGAGATCAGGTGTCATTCTGGGAGATCGCCAGGCCCCACCTGGAGGTTGGCAACCCTAAGTGGTAACCCATCCTTCATCCCGGCTCATCAGCCTCTGGTCTCCCCATTCCTCCCTCCCTGCCCTTCCCATCGGCTGCCCACTGTAAGCCTTCTGGGGCAGAGACCAGCGGCGTCTTGTCTGCGCAGCACCTGGCACAGCGTCAAGCCTCCTTTAACGCGAAGCACAGATAGGCATGGCTCACCTTCTTCCTCGCAGTCCCTATTTGCACATCAAAAGGGTGAGATTTGCATAGCGGCACATAAATCTCCCCTCCCACGGGCTTCTTTCTGCTCCGGCCGAGGTGCCCTGCGTGTTCTTTCCAGAGTGTTCCCGAGCGGCGTCTGATGAGAGAAAATAACGGCACAGACTGAACCAAGGGGAGGCCATCCCTGAGGCGCTGATTTCGATTCTTTGCACTTCTCCCTCCCCCCTTTCCTTTCCTTTCCTGGCTGCTCTTTGCCCTGCCTGGGAGATTTCATCAGCTGGATCGGGGAGACACACAGAAGTCTTGGCCAGGATCTAGCAAATGACACGACACTGGAAAGCGATCAGCCAGGATGGCATAAGTTTCTGTGTGACAGACAGGGGTCATTTGGTAGAAAAAGAGGTGCAGGAGCTCATTAGCATAACTCATTAGGATAATTTATTTGCATATGCCACACCCCCTGACATCACCAGAAGTGTGTCAGAAGGCAACACCCACTGCAATTTACCTGGCTGCTTTTTGCTCCTCGTGGCCTGGGGCTGCTGGGGACAGGGGGCGGGGCTTGTTGGATGTGCCCGCCCCCTGGACTCTTTACTGCCGGAGCTCTGCTCCAGTGCGCTCCTGCAGGAAATGACCCCTGGCCATTCAGATCTCTGCTCAGCCATGAAAATAAACCATTGGGTGACCCTGGACTAGTCTCTCTCTCTCTCTCTCTCTCTCTCTCTCTCTCTCTCTCTCTCTGCCTAGCCTTCTTCGCAGGGGTATTGGGAGCAGTGTTCCCTCTAAGCTGAGTTAGTGTGAGCTAGCTCACAGTTTTTTAGCCTCCAGCTCACACATTTTTGTCTTCACTCAGGAAGGATGGCTCCAGAGCAAACTGGAGCAAACTCCAGAGCCAAATTGCTCGCTCACAACATTAATGCCAGTAGGTCACAAAGTAGAATTTTCGCTCACAAGACTCCACAGCTTAGAGGGAGTATGGAGGAGGGTAGGATAATGTACACAACATGGAGCTTCTTGGAATTGGGGGGGGGGGGCAGACAAGATCTCATAAGAACATAAGAGAAGCCATGTTGGATCGAGCCAATGGCCCATCCACTCTGTGTCACACGGTGGCCAAAACCCAGGTGCCACCAGGAGTTCCACCAGCAGGGCCAAGTTGATACGACTAATGCCAGAAGCAGTGGATCCCATGGACCCATTCCACGAATGGCAGCAGTTGTCACTGGTGCACAGAGTCTTCTCCTGACGCAAAAGGTTGGGGGAGACAGAAGCGGTCTGTGTGGGGGGCCATGCCAAGACCAGATCTGGGCTGAAAAAGAGTGTTCTGCAATCCAGAGCTGCTGGAAACGGAGTCAAGGGTGCTTGAGCCCGGAATGCAGAACTCTGGGGATTCCAGAGGCTTTATACTGGCTGGCCAATCACAGGGACTGGTGTTGCACTCTCCACTTTCTATGCCTGAAGGGGGGAGGGTTGGTTAAGCAATCAGCCGACGAATGTTTTACGGTTATCATCCCCTTCCCGGCATAGCGGAGATTCTAACTGAGCCTATCTCACAGCTGCGGCCTTTCACCTCCAGCTCTGACGCACACACAGCACAGCCGAGGCGGGCTTTGACTTCCCGATGTTCTGGGGATGTCTCAGCACTGAGTGGGGCCAAGGAGACGGCGCCGCCTCCCTCTCGCACGAGCCCGGCGCTGGTGCCTGGTCTCCCTTGGCATCCGAGGCAAAGCTGGGTTCGGGCCAGGAGGAGACGCTGCTCCCCCCCCCCAAAGCCTCCCCTGCCTCCCCTAGCCATTTTGGTCGGCTGGCAGGCAACCAAATGGCAGAGAGGGTTCACCGAGTCTGGCTAACCCTCACGCTGCCTGAAGATGTCAGGCCGCCAGGGCATTCTTTCTCTCACAGCCCCCCCCCTCGATTCAGATTGGCCCTGACAGACGAAGCAGCTACGTTATTCGTTGGCCGACCCTCCTGTGAGGATCGCAGCCCTGGATTCCGCAATCACGTCGCCGACCTCTAGGCGGGGCCTGGTGATAGGGTTGCCAGCCTCCAGGTGGGGTCTGGAGCAATGTTCCCTCTAAGCTGTGGAGTCTTATGAGCAAGAATTCTTCTTTGTGAGCTACTGGCATTAAAAGCTGTGAGCGAGCAATTTGACTACTGCATAAATTAGTCTGCTCTGGAGCCATCCTGCCTGAGCTAGGGCAAAAATGTGTGAGCCAGAGGCTAAAAAACTGTGAGCTAGCTCACACTAACTCAGCTTAGAGGGAACAGTGGTCTGGAGCAGTGTTCCCTCTAGGCTGAGTGAGTGTGAGCTAGCTCACAGTTTTTTAGCCTCCGGCTCACACGTTTTTGTCTTCGCTCAGGAAGGGAGGGCTCCAGAGGCAACTAATTTATGCGGCAGCCAAATCGCTCGCCCACAACTTTAATGCCGGTAGCTCACAAAGTAGAATTTTCGCTCACAAGACTCCACATCTTAGAGGGAGCATTGGTCTGGAGATCTCCCGGAATTGCGACGGATCCCCACATGACAGAGATCAGTTCCCCCTGGAGAAAATGGCTTCTCTGGCAGGTGGATTGTATGGCCTTATACTAGGGTTACCAACTCTGTGTTAGGGAATTCCTGAAGATTATGGGTTGGAGCCTAGGGAGGGCGGGGTTTGGGGAGGGGAGGACCTCAGTGGGGTGTAATACTATAGAGTCCAGCCTTCAAAGTAGACGTTTCCTCCAGGGGAACTGATGCATGTAGTTTGGAGATGGGTTGTGATTCCGGGAGATCTCCAGTCCATGCCTGGCGGTTGGCAACCTTGCATTATGCCCTGCTGAGGCCCTTCCCTTCCCCAAGCCCCGCCCTCCTCAGGCTCCACCCCCAAATCTCCAGGGATTTCCCAACCAGGTGTTGTCAGCCTTAGGCCTGCAGATCTCCCAGAATTCCAACTGGTCTCCAGACAACAGAGATCAGTTCCCCTGAAGAAAATGGCTGCTTGGGTGGACTCTGTGGCACTGTACCCTTCTGGTTTGGCATCATGCCTAACCACACCCTCCCCAGGCTCCACTCCACCCCCAGATCTCCAGGAATCCCCCAACCGAGAGTTGGCCACCTGAGCCCCCAGATCTGTTCTACTACCAGCACTGCTCCTTCCCTCCGGTCATAAGGTCAAGCTTGCTCCTGATCGGCCCAGCTCACCGTCTTCCGTACTTTCTCTTCCCCGCAGAGATTTGCTTCCGTCACGCAGTACGTGGAGACGCTGGTGGTGGCCGACGAGGAGATGGCCCGTTTCCACGGAGCTGGCCTGAAGCGCTACCTGCTCACCATCATGGCCGCCGCCTCCAAGTTCTTCCGCCACCCCAGCCTGAAGAACCCCGTCAATCTGGTGGTGACCCGGCTGGTGGTGATCGGGCAGGCCAAGGACGGGCTCGAGGTGTCCTCCAACGCCGCCGAGACCCTGCGGAACTTCTGCCGGTGGCAGAGAGGCCTCAACTCGCTCGACGACGAGGACCCCGACCACTTTGACACGGCGATCCTCTTCACCAGGGAGGTGAGCGGCTGGTTTGTGGAGTCAGCAAACGCACATTTCTTTATGTGTTATTCATTCATTTATACCCTGCCTTTCTCCCCACCGGGGACCCAGGGGGGCTTACATCCTTCTCCTCTGCTCCATTTCATCCTCACAACAACCCTGTGAGGTAGGTTAGGCGGAGAGAGCGTGACTGGCCCAAGGTCCCCCAGCAAGCTTCAGTGGCAGAAATGGGGATCTGAACCTGGGTTTCACAGATCCTAGTCTGACACTAACCACTACATCACACTAGCAGCCATATCTAAATGATGCGCGGATATGGTCCACGCTTGGTAGAGTGGCAGGAGCAGCTAATCTTTGCTCCAGGTGCTGTTTCATAGGATCCAGTGACATCATCCTTTCTCATTTGAATGTGCCTTTTAGCTCCACCCTCTTCTGTCTCTGGCCACGGCCCTTCTTTAAAGAAACCATCCCTTTCGCCAAATTATAATGCACCAGCATAGTGGGGCAGGGTGTCAGACTAGGAGCAGGGACGTCCAGGTTCCAATCTCTGCTGGCCATGAAACTCACTGGGCAGCATTCTCTCTCTCGGCTTAACCTACCTCACAGGGCTGTTGTGCGGATAAAACAGAGGAGAAGAGAACCATGTGTGCTGCCATGAGCGCTTTGGGCTAAGGCGTGGCTGAAAATGTAGATAGGACACCAAATGAATAATGTGCTGTCAAGGCACAGCCCACTCACAACTCCACCCATGGGGTGTTCAAGGCAAGATGTACGAGTGGATTCCACCCAGAGCAGCCTAAAGGCTGCAGGGGAAAAGCAATTTCCCAACACTGGCCCTTTCTACACCCGTATTTTGCCTCAGTTTCTGAGCACACATCCTATTCTTCTGTTCTGCATTCCCTCCCGCTTTCACTTCCAATTTGTGTCTGGGCTTTCTCTTGTTTCTGCATTTGTTTTACAGGATTCTGCATTCATGCCGCTTCCAGCACACTGTTGCCCCGCAGTTACCGAAACTCCTTTTGCAGCGATTCTTTGTTCTTATCAGGGGTCGTTTCGTAGAAAAAAAGCTAGGGGAACTCATTAGCATAACTCATTAGCATATGCCACACCCCCTGACATCGTAAGGCCCGGCGGTGGACCTGCAAGGCCGGCGGGAGTGCGAGGAAGCCCCGCCAAGGCCCTCCCTGGCCCCAGGCAGGCAGGGGTGGGGAGAGGCGGGGAGGAAGCAACTTAGTTCTTATCCGCTTTTGAATCGCTAATCTTCTCTAAAGTAGAATTGTTTCTGTGGGTAATTAAGTGCTGCCCACTGCCCCTCCCCCATGTCCGCCTCTCTCGTTAGGTTGATGCTCCCTTCCCGTTCTGTTTTCTTTCCCTCCTTCTCCAAAGACAAAAGAGGACGTGTCCTCCCACTCAAGCAAACTTTAAAAAAGTCAGAGAGAGCATAAGAAGGAATCAGTACATATAAAGGACTGGGGGATTCCCTGCTCCCAAATGTGTCAGTCTCGTCTGCGTGGGCCTGGATTTCCCCCCTCCCTCCCTTTCTTTTTGCAGAATCACGAGGTGGGGGGGAGGGAGAGAGGGAGGGTGCTGGGCCTGCAGTTAAAAGTGCTGAAATATGTTTTCCTTTCGCTTCATCTTAGACAAAGCAGCTAGTTAGCGCAAAAAAAAGTAGGTTTTGCTTGTAGAGGCATACGGAACGCACAAAGAAATAAACCGGAAAGGGAGAATCAATGCAGAGGGAATGCGTGCGGCTGTGAAGTCAGCCCTTAAGGCTCGACTCCTCGGATTCTCCAGGGCGAGCTGCCAGTGCCGAACGGGCCACTTGAGCCTTTACTGTATTTCCCGAGAGTTTCTCTTTTAAACCATGTGCTTGTGTTTCGTTGGCAGGATCTCTGTGGGCGCGACAGCTGCGGCACCCTGGGGATGGCCGACGTTGGCACCGTATGCGACCCGGTACGCAGCTGCTCCATCGTTGAAGACGATGGGCTCCAGTCTGCCTTCACCGCGGCACACGAACTCGGTACGGGATGGGGGGGGAGGACAGGTGGCGTTCACGCAAATGCCGGGACAGCAACTGGACGCCACCGCAGGAACTGTGCAGTTGTTCCACCTGGGGCCAGCATCGAGAGTTAGCCACAGGAATAAACAGCTTTTCAAGGGGATTGGATAGATTTATTTATCCGACTTTTACCCCGCTCCTTTCCCCGCCAGGCAGGGCTCAGGACTCTGCTGAGCAAACTGAGTGCATTTGTGCACACGTGCCCAAAAATGTAGATCGTTGAGAAGCAATGGGGGAACTGTGAAGCCTAGAAATGTAATCATTCTTTTTTTAAAAAAAAAAAAAGGCCGAGGGCCAAAACTACACATTACGATTTGCACTGACCCCTCAAGTGCTGTTTTGGGTTGGGGAAATGGTATTAAGAACATAAGAGATGCCAGTGTTGGATCAGGCCAAAGGCCCATCCAGCTCAACACTCTGTGTCACACAGTGGCCAGAAATACCAGGTGCCATCAAGAGGTCCACCAGTGGGGCCAGGACATTAGAAGCCCTCCCACTGTTGACCCCCCCCCCCAGCACCAAGATGACAGAGCATCACTTGCCCCAGAGCCCCTATCTATACCTTGTGGCTAATAGCCACTGATGGACCTCTGCTCCATATTGGGGGTGGGGGGGGAGGTTGAAGCCCCTTCTTCCCTAGTGTAGTGGTTAAGTGCGCGGACTCTAATCTGGGAGAAGCAGGTTTGATTCCCCACTCCTCCACTTGCAGCTGTTGGATGACCTGGGGCAAACCATAGTTCTGTCAGAGCTGTCCTTGAAAAAGAGCAGTCCTTGAAAGAGCTCTCTCAGCCCCACCTTCCTCACAGTCTGCATTCGACATGGGACTGTCTTGGTCAGAGTCAGGTTGGGGGGAGCCCTAGACATTACATGTTAAAAATCATTCTGTCCAGTCGGGCTCTTGGATACTGGGAGTCTAGAGGCTGCATCTTAGATAGCAGATTCTTCCTTGGCCTTGTGAACCCACAAGTGAGGGGTCCATGTATTACACGGGGGTCCAGGAGCTGACCTCTTATTTCTCTCCCTGCCCCCCAATGTTTAGGCCATGTCTTCAACATGCTCCACGATAACGACAAGCACTGCAAAGACCTGAACAAGGAAACCGGCTCCAACCACATGATGGCCTCCGTCATGACCCCCGTGGACCCCGATGAGATGTGGTCAGCGTGCAGCGCCCGATTCATCACCGACTTCTTAGACAACGGACACGGTACGGCCTCACCTCTCCCCCTTGCTCAGCCCCGTCCGTCTGGTTGGCTCCTCTTGGCGGCTGTGGTCAAACTTAGGGCTCAACGGACCATTAATACTTGACAGGCTGATGGCAGGACTCACCCACTGGGTGAACAGAGATGCGCCTTTGTAGGAAGCTGTGTAAATAGGAGCTGATCACTAAAGGAGAGATATACACGACAGAGGTTTATAAAAGTATGTATGGGGTGGGGAAAGTGGATATAGAGGGAGATTTTTCCCCTCTTTTTCTATAATACTAGAATTCAGGGTCACCCAATGGGTAGTAGGTTCAGGACAGACAAAAGGAAATGCATCTGTACTGAGGGAGAAATTAAACTGGGACTCCCTGCCTGCCAAGGCAGGGCCACAGACAAGAATGGCTGTAAGAGGGAATTAGAAAGATTCATGGAGGGACAGGTCCATCAATGGCTACTTTCCATGGGGAGGAAAGAGAACCTCCCCATTCAGAGGCAGCCAACCTCTGGAACCCAAGGCTAGGAGGCAACGTCAGGGGAAGGACTTGGCCTCTATTCAGCAATTATAGCCCATTGAAGAACATAGCTGTAAGCATAGCCTCATGATGAAGTGAATCAACAGTATATTTCCAATACGTCACCAAGAAATGAATTGCTGAAAGACAGTTTTTGTACACACCCTTGTTCAGAAGAAGATCATTGTCGAAACAGCACACCATTCCGGAGACCACCGTCTACATTCACTATATATATAACTTTTCTGTTATTGTATATTATGATTTATGAATATATTACCAAGCGGTAAATTGTCACAGTTCTTGTTCCTTTTTTCATTGGCCACCATATGAGACAAGACGTAAGACTAGACGGACCACTGGTCTGATCCAGCAGAGCTCTTCTTATGTTCTTTTGAGCTCCTTTAACATGAGTGAGCGTTCCACAAACAGTAGCCTCAGGACTCACCAAGTCCTGGTCTCAGCTAACCATCCCCCCCCCCCCCCGGGGGTCCTTCTCTGTCTTTGCAGGCCACTGCCTCAGAGACAAGCCGCACGAACCCCTGCGTCTTCCAGCTGCCTTCCCGGGCAGCGAGTATGATGCGGACCAGCAATGCCAGCTGAGTTTTGGGCCTGACTCCCGCCACTGCCCCAATCTCCAGCCGCCGTGTGCCTCCCTGTGGTGTACGGGCCGGATCAATGGGCAATTCATGTGCCAGACCAAATACTTCCCCTGGGCCGACGGGACCCCTTGTGGCGAAGAGAAGAGCTGCATGAAAGGACGCTGCATCAGCAAAACGGAGCTGAAGGCCTACAATGTGAGTAGCTCCGCCGGCAGCCATCAGGGGGAGCCAGAGAGTCCTTCTAGTTCACGTTTTTTCTTTAAGGGTTTATTGGGGGTGAGTGGGTGGAGGAGAGGACCTATCAAAGTTTTGAACGTTGTTCACATTGTGGCAAGCTGCAAATGCAGCCCACTGTGTAGGCAGCTGTGTCCAGTTGTTGGCGCACCCCTGGTGAGGTACGCTTAGAAGAAAATTGACACCACCGGAGTTAGTGGAGAACGGTGGCAAGTTACAGTTTCTCCCCTTTTCACCAAACCACTTTGAATGCTTTTTCTGTCTGCATAGCCTTGAATTGGCAACTCAAAAGACAGTCAGAATCTATGACAAATCATGGCTCAAGTTGCTGGATAATAGAGTGGGAGAAACTAGCAAAACCCAGCACTGAAATGAGCCACCAGAGTAGTCACATGTTACCCACGCATGAGCTAGATCTCCACATGCAGCACAATGAAGTGGTCAGGCCCCGGGGTGGTGTGAATGAACTATACCACTTCAGACTGCAGGAGAGTGGTTACATTTTAGCGTGCTTCTGCAGGGTTCTTTTTTGAATTGCCCCCAGCAAGCCAAAAAGTAGCACAACATGGAGAGGACTGGGTAACTTGTGCTAAATTTCTACTTGCGGGGAGTTTGGGGATTTTGTTTTACATAGGGGAGCACCTGTGGTCTGAAGGGCCATTTAAGGACCCTGTCATCTCCTTGTGGACATAACAGAGAGTGGGTTGGGATGAGAACCTTTCTCACTGATGAGCTACTTTTCTGCTTGCAGAGGGTTTTTTGTTTGTTGGTGTTTTTACATGGTTGAGCACCTGTGGTCTGAAGGGCCATCTAAGAATCCTACCACCTGCTGTGTGGATACCACTTGGGGATTCTTATGGCTTTATTCTTTCAGGTACATAATGCTTTTTGTTCTCTCTCTCCCTCCTACCTGTCTGCAGATTCCCACTAACGGTGGCTGGGGGCCCTGGGGCCCATGGGGAGAATGCTCCCGTACCTGTGGGGGAGGAGTGCAGTATTCCTCTCGGGAGTGTGACAAGCCGGTTCCACGCAACGGTGGGAAGTACTGCGAGGGGAAGCGCACCCAGTTCCGCTCCTGCAATGTCCAGGACTGCCCCGAAGGCAACGGTATGATACATTTCTTGTGTTTTCAACTGGTATTGTGTCTTTCTGTTTCATTGGCAGTTTACAAAACTCATGCATAGCCAAAAAAACCCCAAAAGACTTTAAAGTACGAAACCGTTTTGTCTCCCCAAGTGCCAAGTTTGGGAGAGGCAGCCCATAAATTTTAGAAATGATGAACACGCAAACACAATGAAAAATGCCAGAGGAGCAGCTGTGTTCATCCACTGCAGTAAAACTACAAAAAGAGACTTACGGCATCATAAAAGCAACACAGATTTAACACGGCATAAGCTTGCATGGGGTAGAGGCCACGATGCAATATCTGAAGAATCAGACCCTTATTCTAAAAGCAAGGTTATGCTGCACTAAATCCTTTAAGGTACCACAAAGGTTCTTCTTGTTTAAGTGCAGGAATGGATTGAGAGATACACGACTGGATGGCAGTGGCTGAAACTAACGTTTTCTGCAATGGCGCCTAACCTGCTGCCTGCACTAAGCCTCTGAGCATTTCAACTTGCATTTACAGAACATATAATTTTTTTTCAAACAGCAATCTAGATCAGAGTTCCCCAACGTGGTGCCTGTTAGTGTCATGGTGCCCACAAATACTTCTACTGGCACCCACCAAGCTTTTCAGAAAGTGGGCAGAGCCACTGTAAGGCAGGGCTTGTTAGTGGCTCCCCTCATTCAAACGAAAGGGTTTTCCATGGCTGCAAAGTGAAGAGGGAAATACTCCTGCGGCCAGGGGTCGTTTCGTAGAAAAAGAGCTAGGGGAACTCATTAGCATAACTCATTAGTATATGCCACACCCCTGACATCACCGGAAGTGTGTCATAAGGCCACACCCCCTGACATCACCGGAAGTGTGTCATAAGGCCACACACCCCGCCCCCAACGGTCCCGGCCGCCGCCGCCAGCCTTGCAGCTCCACTGCCGAGCCCCATGAGGGGCCCGGCAGTGGACCTGCAAGGCTGGCGGGAGTGCAAGGAAGCCCCGCGAAGGCCCTCCCTGGCCCCAGGCAGGCAGGCAGGGGTGGGGAGAGGCAGGGAGGAAGCAACTTACCCTCCCTCTTCTCCTGCCTCCTCCTGGCTGAATGAGGGCCGGAAGCGGGGCTTCGTCATGTGCCCCGCCCCCCGTACCTCACCCGGGGGGACTGCGTTCCCCCGTGTTCCCCCCCGAAATGACCTCTGCCTGCGGCAACCATTTTGTGGTGGCGCTCTCCACTCCCTCCCAAAACTCCATTAGTGCTTGCGGGCTCAAAAAGATTGGGGACCCCTTGGTCTATGTATTTCATGAACCTCAGCGCCCATTTTACAACCTCCGTCCACATCTTCCCTGAAATATTATCCTTAGTCCACTTGACTCATCTGGGCATTTCCTTCCAGCCTTGACCTTCCGAGAACAGCAGTGTGCGGTTTACAACCACCGAGAGGACATGTTCAAGGGCTACCCCGCACCGATGGACTGGGTGCCCCGCTACAGTGGTGTGGCTGAACGCGACCAGTGCAAGCTGACCTGTCAGTCCTACGCCTTGGGCTACTACTATGTCCTGGAACCAAGGGTGAGTGTTACCACGGAGACGAGGCCTCCCCTCCCTGAGGAGAATTAAAAAAACAAACCAGAATGGGCTTTCAAATGAACAAGCGCCACAGTTACGATTTTACGAAATGTTTGGGTATCTTCAGAGGTCATTTCGGGGGGGATCGCAGTTCCCCCGGGTGAGGTACGGGGGGCGGGGCACATGACGAAGCCCCGCCCCCTGCTTCCGGCCACCCCACTTCCGGCCCTCATTCAGCCAGGAGGAGGCAGGAGAAGAGGGAGGGTAAGTTGCTTCCTCCCTGCCTCTCCCCACCCCTGCCTGCCTGCGGCCAAGGAGGGCCTTTGAGGGGCTTCCTTGCACTCCCGCCGGCCTTGCAGGTCCACCACCGGGCCCCTCATGGGGCTCAGCAGAGAAGCTGCAAGGCCGGCGGTGGCGGCCGGGACCGTTGGGGGCGGGGTGTGTGGCCTTATGACACACTTCCGGTGATGCCAGGGGGTGTGGCCTTATAACACACTTCCGGTGATGTCAGGGGGTGTGACATATACTAATGAGTTATGCTAATGAGTTCCCCTAGCTCTTTTTCTATGAAACGACCCCTGGGTATCTTGATGCCACACACCTAGTCGCTTTTTTAAACCTCTAGTCAGTTTTCATGGGAAGGGACTAGGGTTGCCAATCTCCAGACGGCGGCTGGGGGTCTCCTGTGATTACCACTAGGGCTTCCAACTCCCCCAGTAGGGCGGAAATCCCCCGCCCCGGAGGCCCCGTTCCCAGACGCCGGGGAATCGGGGCCCGGGGGAAACCCCGCCCCGGCGTGCGCGTCACCGGAAGTGACGTCGCACGCTGGGGGCGGGGCCACTCCATTTGAGGGGAAAACAGTTTTCCCCTCAAATAGCAGCCTTCTGGACATGGAACAGGGCTCACTGGGCGTTGCGGAGGAGGTATTTGTGAATTTCCCGCATTGTGCGGGGGGTTGTTAACTCTCCAGGTATTTCCCAGCCCGGAGTTCGCAACCCTAGAAGGCAACATGGATCTATTGTAGATTCCCTGCTCTGCATTCATGAAGGTCCAGGGCCTGACCGCTTCAGTTAAAAAAGGATCAGGCAGCTGGTGATGTAAAAGACCTGTTGATCTGAGACCCTGGAGAGCTGTTGCCAGTCAGAGCAAGAAATACAGGCCTCGATAGACGTATTGCCTGACTCAGTGCCTGACTCAGTAGAAGGCAGCCAGATTCAAGCCCAGTAGCAGTTTGGGGACCAACGAGGCTTTCGGAGTATAAGCGTTTGAGAGTCGATGCTCACTTCATCAGATACAAGACAAAGAGAGCGTTGACTCTCGAAAGTTTATACACCCCCAAAATCTTGTTGGTCTCTAAAGTGCTATTGGACTCAGATCTGCAGACCAACGTGGCTACCCCCTGAAACTATCTTTAGTAAAAGGAGGGCCAGAGTGGTTAAGAGTGGTGGACTAGTATCTGGGAGACCCGGGTTCGAATCCCCACTTGTGCCGTGGAAGCTCGTTGGGTGACCTTGAGCCAGTCACACACACTCAGTGTAACCTACCTCACAGGGTTGTTGTTTGTGAGGATAAAATGGAGGCGAGGAGATTAATGTCAGCTGCTTTGGGTCCCCATTAGGGAGAAAGGCAGGGTACAAATGAGCGAAATGTTCAATTTGAGTGCCATTCCTTCCCCTGAGGAATCCTGGGAATGGTTTATTAGTAAGAATGTTGTTAGAAATCCTCTCACAGAACTAGTTCCCAAGGAAGAGAAAGAGGCTAGTGCTCTGGGGTTGAAGGCTGTCCAGGGCTCTTTTTGTAGAAAAGGCCCAGCAGGAACTCATTAGCATAATAGGCCACACCCAACAGCAGGAACTCATTAGCATATTAGGCCACACCCCTGACAGCACAGGTCATTAGCGCATTAGGCCGCACCCCCATGTTACCAGAAGTGTGGTTATCCAGCCACACCCACCTTTTGCTTCTTATTCTGTTTACCTTGTTTGTTGTCAAAACCCAGGGCCTTTTTTTGTAGCAGGAACTCCTTTGCATGTTAGGCCACACACCCCTAATGTAGCCAGTCCTAATGAGTTTCTGCTGTTGGGTGTGGCCTATTATGCTAATGAGTTCCTGCTGGGCGTGGCCAACTTCGGAGCCAGCCGGAACTCCGTTCCTGTGCGTTCCTGCCCAAAAATAGCCCTGGCTGTAGCAAGGATCAGTAAAAAATAATAAAAAGTAGGCTGCTATGGAGCGGTGGCCCAGGCTAACCCAATCTCATGAGATCTCGGAAGCTAAGCACGGTTGGCCTTGGTCAGTATTTGGATGGGAGACCGCCAAGGAAGTCCAGGGTTCCAGTGCAGAGGCAGGCAACTGCACACCACTCCTCAGTGTCTCTTGCCTTGAAAACCCACAGGGTCGCCCTAAGTTGGCTGCGACTGGACTGCAAAAAAAGTAAAAATAAAAACGGAAAGGTCACGGTCAGGCCGGTTGTGAAACGTTGACGATTGGCACCAGGAGAGAAATGTGCAACTCATTTCCCTCCAGATGTTCTGTCAGGGGTTAGCACCAGGGCTTAGCACGGAGGAAGGAGGAAGAAGCTCGGAGCGCAGGAATAATAAGCGAGAAGTTTAAGAACAGGGTGGGCTGTTCGGGGAAGGTTCAGGGAACAGGAGACGGATGAGAAGTAGAGGGGAAACAAAGCCCCCGTGACTGGAGACAGAAACCAGGACTCCTCTGCACCTAAAGCACAATCTCTCCAACCAAATGACCCTTGTGGAACTCTGTGAATGGACATTCCGGGTGCTGCTAAAGGGTAAAAAGCAGTGGAGTGCAGGGGTTCAAGAGCTGCCATAGGAGTGCAGAGACCAAGGTTCAAATCCCCAGTGAGCTGACTGGCTGATATTGGACCAGTCTCTCTGTGTTGGCCTAACCGACCTTGCAGGGCTGCCGTGAGGTCAACGGAAGAATCGTGTATGTTGCTCTTTGCTCCTTGGGGCGGAAGGCTGGGATAAAGACGGGACTGATCAATAGTAGTTTGGGATTTGGTTTGGTGTAGGAGAATGGGGAGGGGGATAATTCTTTCCCCTGTGCTGTTTCCCTGATCTCAAATGTCTCTGCGGAGAGGCTGCTTGCCTCACTGGGAGAACCAGGTGGACATCCTGTGTTTCCCCCAAAGAGCAAAACAGCAATTCCATAGGGATGCCAGCTCCGGGTTGGGAGATACCTGGAGATTTGGGGGTGGGCCCTGAAGGAGGGACTTCCGTGGGGCATAATTCCATAGAGTCTACCTACCAACGCTGCCATTTTCTCCAGGAGAACTGATCTTTGTCTCTTTGGAGATCACTTGTAATCCCAGGAGATCTCCAGCCACCACCTAGAGGCGGTCAAACAATAGGGACCCCAAGCATATGTGATATACAGAAATACAGACCGCAAGGGTAGACCATCAAAAAAATTCACAAATTTCACAAGTTACCAGTAGACCTCGGTGTACTGCAACGTAATGACAGTCCATCAATAAATAAAGTAGAATTGGCAGTCACAATTCAAAAACAAGTTGCAATACAAAGCACTTAACAAGAGAAGGTAGAACAATTGAAGTAGAAAAATCCAGCAAGAGACTCCTCTAAACCCATTATACTGAAAAGGTTTAGAGGAGTCTCTTGCTGGATTTTTCTGCTTCAATTGTTATACCTTCTCTTGTTAAAAGCTTTGTATTGCAACTTGTTTTTGAATTGTGACCGCCAATTCTACTTTATTTATTGATGGACTGTCATTACGTTGCAATACACTGATGTCTATTGGTAACTTGTGAAATTTGTGAATTTTTTTGATGATCTACCCTTGCGGTTTGTATTTCTGTATACTACCTAGAGCAGGGGTGTCAAAAATGCGGCCCGGGGGCCAGATCAGGCCCCCGGAGGGCTTATGTCAGGCCCTCAGTGGAACTGGCTGTCTTCTGCTTCTTCTTCCAGTTCTGCTGCTGCTGCGTCATCGTAGGTTTGCAGCTTACAGATACACACCTGAACAGCATACTCAAGATTGCAACAGCACAGACATTTTGATGCAATAATTCAGAGCAAGAGGTGTCCGTTATCAGACACTGTTAAATAAACAAAATATTGCAAGAGTGCTAAGGTTTTAAGCATGATTTTAAGTAAAAAAACAACCGTTTGTGTTTGTGTCCTTTATAAAGTTTATATCTCCGCTGCTTGGCATTACATTTTATGACACACATGACCTGACCCAACAAAGTCTCATTTATGTCAGATCCGGCCCTCGTAACAAATGTGTTCGACACCCCTGACCTAGAGGCTGGCAACCGTAGCTCCAGGCAGCCATTTGAGATTGAAAATGGTGCATGACAGGGAGGAAGTTATTTTGTCCTTCTCTTGTTCTGTTTCTCCAATCAGAATCTGGCCCCACAGCTACCTTTCATCAATAAGAAAAGCTCAGGAGACCTCTTTGTGAATTTCCCAGTTTTTCATTGACTCTGACTTCATGTAGTGGTAGAAAAGAGCAAGAGTCCAGTAGCATCTTAAAGACAGCAGGGGAGTAGCTCTCATGAATCACTGCCCACTTCTTCAGATACCAGTGACTCACAAAAGCTCCTACCCTGCCACAAATTTTGTTAATCTTTAAGGTGCTACTGGACTCTTGCTCTTTTCTAGTGCTACAGACAGACTAGCATGGCTACCAGTGTTCCTTCCAAGCTGAGTTAGTGTGAGCTAGCTCAGTTTTTTTGCCTCCGGCTCACACATTTTTGTCTTCGCTCAGGAAGGAGGGCTCCAGAGCAAACTAATTTATGCAGCAGCCAAATGGCTTGCTCATAACTTTAATGCCAGTTGCTCACAAAGTAGAATTTTTGCTCACAAGACTCCACCGCTTAGGGGGAGCATTGGCTACCCATCTTGATTTGACTTCATGTGCAAGTGTGTGTTGCAATGCCAGGTGTGCTGGTCCCAGTCAGCGTTATCTGTAGTTTAATAAAACTCCTATCTTTGCGCCTCTGAGCTCAGGAAATTATTCTTAATGAGCCAGTCAGAGGGAAGCTTCTGGGACCCCTAACTGTGGACTCCAATTCCCAGGTGCAACAAGTCTTAAAGATGCAGAGCAGTTTTACTAAACTACAGATAACGCTGACTGGGGCCAGCACACTAGGAAATAGAAGAGAGAGAGCTGCAGAAGGAAACAAGTCCCAGGCTAACCCAATCTTGCTGTATTCCAGGTGGCAGACGGAACGCCCTGCTCCCCCGAATCTACCTCGGTCTGCGTTCAGGGACGCTGCGTCCACGCCGGCTGCGACCGCGTCATCGGCTCTAAGAAGAAGTTCGACAAGTGCATGGTGTGTGGAGGAGACAACTCGCGCTGCACCAAGACCTACGGCTCCTTCACCAAGCCCAAGTGAGTGATGCTCTTGTCAGACGCCGTCGGGAATGAGAGAGGGTGCAGCCAGGTTCCAAAATGGTCAGCAGTGTCCTTTGCCAAATACAGGCCAATGGGACACTTCAGTAAGAGCTCCCATCTGGATATAATTGTTCCAGGCTGGGAAACATCTGGAGATTTTGGGGGTGGAGCCTGAGGAGGGCGGGGTTTGGGCAGGGGAGGGACTTCAGTGGGGTATAATGCCACAGAAGCCACCTTCCAAAGCGGCCATTTTCTCCAAGTGAACTGGGCTCTGTCGTCTGGAAATCAGTTGTAATAATGGGAGGTCTCCAGCCACTACCTGGAGGTTGGCAACCCTAATGACAACCCTATGAAGTAGGTGAGGCTGAGAGCATGTGACAGGCCCAAGGTCACCCAGCACGCTTCCATAGCACCATCTGGAATTCAGTTGTAATCCCAGGAGATCTCCAGACACCACCTGGAGGTTGGCAACCCTGTGTATGTTCCTTCTAGAACTCTTTACCTCACAGGTGATAAAATATTCTGCCTGGTTTCTGACGCGTTGTGACTTCTGCCCCTCAGGTACGGTTACAATGATGTGGTCACCATCCCAGCAGGAGCCACCAACATCTTGATCCGCCAGAACAGCGGCTCGGCCTCTTCCAACGACGGCATCTACTTAGCCCTACGCCGGCGGGACGGCTCGTATGCCCTCAACGGCAAGTACGTCCTCGTGCCTTCCGAGCAGGACGTCCACGTTCAGAACGGGGTAACCCTGCGTTACAGCGGGGCCACCAAGGCCACGGAGGTTATCACAGGGCGCGGGCCGCTGAAGGAGCCTCTCACCTTGCAAGCCTTGGTGGTGACGGACCAGAGGGCCCCTCGCCTCAAGTACACCTTCTTCGTCCCCAAACGCCCCAAGAGTCCGTCGAACCAGTGGCTGAAGCAGAGGGCCCGCATCTTAGAGGTCTTAAGGAACCGCCGAGGCCGCAAATAGAGCCGTGAGGCAATTCTGGGCAGGCCTTGTGGGCTATTCCTGGACCTTCTCAACCACAAAGTGGTGTTTTTTGAGGGAAGAAAGGGGCTCAGAGGCAGACTGTACATCACTGCCCTTCCAAAGATGACAAACTGCACCAAACTGGCAGTACAAGGGGTCCTAATTCGTATCACTGGTCAGGGGTGGGGTTTTTTTTTGTTTTTACACGGTTAACAAACAGGTACCATGTTGGTCCCTGCTTGACAGGTGCCAGTATCTCTGGACCCTTCTAGAACATTCTGCAGTTTGCCAGACTTTTCTTTTTGGCGGGCCCCCGCTTGGTTACGCCTGGATACTCAGCAATGCAGAACGCAAACCAAGCGATCGCAGGGGAAGCCACTCGGGAGGCCTAAAGAGGACACTGCTTACGTGGACAGTGTTGGTGTTCCAGGCCTGCCTGCTTCCTCCCTGAGGGGAATGGGAGAACTGTGGGGGTGACCAAACCAGGCTTTAGAAAGAAATGGATGGAAAGGAGAATGTCTCTCTTTCTCTCACGCCTGACTTGACAAGAAAGGCTGGTTTGCGGCACATGTGACCAAAGTGAGACTGAAGCGATTGGGCATCATGGCTGGAAGGATTCCATTCGGGTTAGTTGTAACTTTCAAGAGGCCTCGTTTCACGATACGTTGCGGCTGCGCCGTTGGCTCGGACTGGTTCCTGACCACACCTCTACTGTATTTATTATCGGATTTATTTATTGGCCATCCTGGATATGCAGAGCATTACTTGTGGGGAGCTTTTCTTTCCTTTTTTTTTCCAAATACGCAGGCAACGATGTTCCTTTGCCCTCATCGCATCTTGGCAAAGCCACGCCTCACGTTTTCTGGGACAGCCAGGAAATGTGCTGGAGAGAGAGAGTCTACCTCAGCCCACGAGCGCCACCTCCTTCCCCTTCACAAAGTAACTCTTTCCTCGGCCCTTTAAAGGTCTGCGGCTTCCTGAACGGCCCAGCCAAACCTCTCTGGTGTTTTGGCACACGTGCACTTTCTGGTGGCTGTGCGCCTAGGCACCAAAGAAATTACAGGCCTTGCCTTGAGGGCAGGCCATTCCCAGGCCTCACCCTGAATACGCGGTGGCCTCTGTGCCTCCCCTCTTCCTACCGCCAAGAGGGAGGGGGAAGAAGCCAGGCCTTTTGCTGCCAGGGCCCTCGATCCCAACTGTGCGTGCTGAGGAATTTCTCCTTTTTTTGGCTTAAAGGATCTTTTCCTTGGGCCGGCTCCAAATAAGGCAGGCTGCCAGCAGAGTCAGGAACCCTAAGCGCGAGGGCCGGAAGCTGCTCTCCACAGAAGTAGCGGGAGAGTAAGCCTGGATCTTGGAAGGAGATGGCAGTTAAAGGAACCCCTTTTCAGCTGAGAAAGACAATAAAAGCGGGGAAGAGGAAGAGGAGGAGAGGGGGGCAGGAGGGCTGTGTTCAGCTTGCAGTTGTAAAGCCGGGAGCAAAGGTGTGGTAGCCGGAGCAGTGGGAGTAGACGACAGGACTGCAGCTAGCAGTGCCTGTGGGGGGGGGGGGGGGGTGGGGGGGGGGGGGGGAGTGTTTGGTGGGCCGAGGCCCACGGGTAGGGCCTGCCACTCGGGGTTGAGAAATTCCTGGAGATTTTGGGGGTGGAGCCTGAGGAGGGCGGGATTTGGGGAGGGGAGAGACATCAGCGGGTTATAATGCCTCAGAGTCCACCTCCCAAAGTGGCCCTTTTATCCAGGGGAACCAGGTCGTTTCGTAGAAAAAGAGCTAGGGGAACTCATTAGCATAACTCATTAGTATATGTCACACCCCCTGACATCACCGGAAGTGTGTCATAAGGCCACACCCCCTGACATCACCGGAAGTGTGTCATAAGGCCACACACCCCGCCCCCAACGGTCCCGGCCGCCGCCGGCGGCTTTGCAGCTCCACTGCTGAGCCCCATGAGGGGCCCGGCGGTGGACCTGCAAAGCCGGCAGGAGTGCAAGGAAGCCCCGTGAAGGCCCTCCTTGGCCCCAGGCAGGCAGGGTTGAGGAGAGGCAGGGAGGAAGCAACTTACCCTCCCTCTTCTCCTGCCTCCTCCTGGCTGATTGAGGGCCGGAAGCGGGGCGGCCGGAAGCAGGGGGCAGGGCTTCGTCATGTGCCCCGCCCCCCGTACCTCACCCAGGGGAACTGCGATCCCCCGCGATCCCCCGCGAAATTACCTCTGAGGGGAACTGATCTCTGTAACCCGGAGACAGGGTTGCCAACTCCAGGTTGAGAAATACCTGGAGATTTTGGGGGTGGAGCCTGAGGAGGGAGGGACTTTGGTGGGGCACAATGCCACAGAGCCCACCCCTCCAAAGCAGCCATTTTTCCCAAGGGAACTGATCTCTGCCAGCTGGAGATCTGTTGTAATAGCAGGTCTCCAGCCACCGCCTGGAGGCTGGCAACCCTACTCGGAGACCAGTCATACTCCGAGATCTCCAGCTGCCGTCTGGAGACTGGCAACCTTAAGGCCCAGTGTCGGGTTCTGCCCCCGTCTTTGTTCTGTCCTTTACAGTTCTGAAACCCAGCTTCTCTCTGAGGACACGGCACAGCCTATCTGGTTTGCTCCTCCTCCGTTTCAACCTCACAACAATCCTGCAAGGTAGATTAGGCCGGGGACAGCTAAATCTTCAGTCACCAAGTCCGCTTCCTGGCTGACAAGGGATTTGAACCCAGGTCATTGTTGGGGAGCCCCCAATAAGAGGAGAGTGCTGGTCGCTTAACCCATGCACTGCTGAATCCAAGATCCCGCCTCCGCAGCCAGGATCCTTGCCAGCCATTCCCATCTTGGCCCCCCTCTCTTTCCTGTGACATCAGGCGCTCCGACCTTCCCTTTCCCGTGCTGTTTCCAGGCAGGAAAAGCACACCTGTTCGGAAGTAGCAGAGAAAGCGAGAAATGCCTTCCGAGCCTTGCTGAAATTTCCTCCTCTGAACACCGGCTCACACCATAAGCTCCGCCCTCCCAGATGACCACGACTACCGAGTAGTCAGAGCAAAACCCTGCCCGAGGGTGGAAGGGCTGTGGATCAGTGGAAGAGCCTCGGCTTGGCATGCAGAAGGTCCCGGGTTCAATCCCGGGCACCCCCAGATAAAAGGGCCAGGTAGCAGAGTGGCGTGAAAGGCCCCAGTCTGAGACCCTGGAGAGCTGCTGCTGGTCTGAGTAGACAATACTGACTTTGATGGACTCAAGGTCTGAAGCATAAGGCGGCTTCATGTGTGTGCATTGATAAGGGAGTGGAAAGGACGCAGGACTCCTGGGTTCTAATCCCTGCTTCTGGGAGAAGCAAGAAGCCGAGAAACCAGGGGTCATTTCATAGAAAAAGAGGTGCAGGAGCTCATTAGCATAACTTATTTGCATATGTCACACCCCCTGACATCACCGGAAGTGTGTCAGAAGGCAACACCCACTGCTCAGGCTCCACTGGACTGTTTTGGATTGCTAGCTATTGGGGGGGGACGTGCAGATCTGTCTTCACAGAGGAGGGAGAGCTTGTACCTGAATAAAACTTGGTCTTAAAGGTGCCACTGGACTGTTTTGGACCAGGAGGCCGGGGGGAGCTCTGCATCTTATCTGGCTTCTTCTTGCTTTGACTGAGGGCTGCTGGGAGCAGGGGGTGGTGCTTGTTGCATGTGCCCGCGCCCTGGGCTCTTTACTGCCGGAGCTCCGCTCCTGTGCGCTCCTGCAGGAAATGACCCCTGCGTGAAACAAAGAAACCTTCGAGGGTGCTCTCCGCCAAGAATCAAAGAAACGTCTGTCTGCCGACTCCGCTCACACCAATCAGCCTGTTCTCTCCCCGGAGGGAGGGAATGTATTTAAACCCCTCTGTAGAGCCAGAGGGGACCCTTCCCCCTGCCTCCAGTTATGCTCTGGATCCCCCCCCCCCAACAATACTTGTACCAAACCAAGAGGGAAGGGGAGCGACGTCCATCAGGTTAATAATTAAATTAAGTTATAATTTAAAGGACAGTCACAAAGACCAGGAACCCGAGGCGAGTCGCCTGGGGTGGGCGAGTCGCCTGGGGTGGGCGAGTCGCCTGGGGGGAGGGTGTCAGAGGGAAATTTTTTTGCATTGTATAAACAGCTTGTTAATATTTAGTAATGATTGTCGAGGTTCTGATTTTTTTTTAAAAAAAAATAATAAAACTCTGCCAGGTTTATTTAATGCTATTTATAAACCAGCTCTTTGGTGCCACGTGTTTCTTCCGGCGTCAGCGGTCGTGTTGGCGGCCTGGCTACGTAGTGGGCTTTGCGGAGGGTTGGAAGAAAAGCGGAACTTGCGAGGACAAGGGAGGGAAGGGCTGGCGGTGTGGGGGCCCGCAGCCCTCAGCTCAGGAGGCCGTGGCTCAGTGGTACAGCCCTCGCCTGCCGTGCTGACGGCCGCCCTGTTCAGTCCCCAGCGTCTCCCGTTCAAAGACCTCAGCGGTAACGGCTGCTGGCTTCGGAACTTTTTCTCCGCCTGAAAACCTGCAGATCCGCTGCCCGTCAAAAGTATTAACACTGAGACGGATCGAGATGGGTGGTGAAAGACTTAACATTTGTGGCAGGGCAGGAACTCTCGTGAGTCACGGCTCACTTCTTCAGATGAGCCGTGACTCGCAAAAGCTCAGACCCCGCCACAAATTTTGTTCGCCTTTAAGGTGCTAACTGGACTCTGGCTCTTTACTACCGATACTTAGTTGGGCCAATGTCCTGACCTGGACGGCCCGGGCTGGCCCGAGCTCACAAGTCCTCAAAAGGGTCAGTTCTGGTTAGTACTTGGGACTGGAGACTGCGGCGTTCAGAGTTGCTACAGGCAATGACAAACCACCTGTTTGACCTTTGCCTTGAAAACCCTACAGGGTCTCCACAGATCAGCTATGGCTGTCTCCTTGCTCACACATCCTGACCTGACTTGTCCAGGCTGATCTGGTCTCAGAAGCCAGGCGGGGCCAGCCCCAGTTTCTCCTTGGGTGGGAGACCACCAGTGTTCCCTCT